GAACTATCGTATACATTTCTAGATTTCTTTTAAATGACAGCAAGCCAGACGGAATAATCTAAAAGGGGTGTTTTGTACCAGTACGATCCGTAATGCAACAAACATTTTACTAATAATTCGATCGCTAGGTTACTTTGGGATAAATGCAATGATCCCATCTGCCTTTAATTTTGGGCTTAACTACGGAAATAATATGCAACCGACGATCATTTTGACGGTTAACTTCCTGAAAGATTTTAAGGATGGTATGGTCAATGCCTGTAGGTAGCTCGAATCACGACTGAGATAGGGACATGCTGTGCTGCTAACGGCTTACACAAGCTATATGGTTTTTTTGGGGCGGAAATGTTGGCTCATGGCTCGGTCCTATCCTGAAACGGTACCCAATTTGACAAAATGGAAAACTACCGACGCATTTTACTGATATGAAACTTATGAACCTGTTTCACTTCCAAAGCCTGATTTCTTGAAGTCGTACTTGCTCAGCTCACTGTACCAATTGTCGCACGCTTCCTTGCCTGCATAAGAGTAAGAGAAGATTGAAGAAAATATTAAAGGGCCCATGTAATGTATCTGTTTTAAATGCAATCCTTAAAAAAAAACACCTCTGTATCCCACGTAACTTTTTTTTCAATTTTCGCTTTGCTATTTTAAGGGTCTGTTAGCTTTTATCCTACAGCAAGAATTGCAATATTCATAAGCAAAAGTGATATGTCATTTCAGGCCTTAACCTCAATGTTGCAGCAAAATTGCCAGAATTGTTGATGTTTTGGTATCGTAACGTTTCTTTTCTTTGGTGATTTGTTGTTGTTTCGGTACATGACAGTGTGGGAAAAAAGCAAAGTTTTCAATAAACAACTTGTTTGGGTTCACAATTTGAACAGTGCAGAAAAATGCAATGATTTTTTTTTTAAAGAAAGCATGTTTATTTACATTTTACAATACAGGACACGTGCAAAAGAGGCTTGATTAGTTGTTATGGCCGTCGGCATACCGCATGGTATCTTAGTTCAAAGGGATTATTTTTTTCGTTCTTGTGGATGTATTTTTGTGGAAATATACACATGTGTATACGTACCTGAGTATTCGGTAGTGGCGGATGAATAATGCATCATGATGTTCTCGCCGGTGTTATCACTCCGCTTGCTGTGCTCAAACTTGTCTTTCTTGGCCAGGCGTTTTGCCCAATCAACGGCGCTCTTGCAGAGCTCTTCGGACATCCTCAGCGAATCAACTCTGTGCTTAGATCGGTACTCGTTATGGACGCGGAGGGCGTCTCTCTGGAACTTCTGCTGCTCGGAATCGGATACCTTCTGGCGGGTCTTGCCGCCTTCTTTCTTTTTGTGGAACCCGAACTGCGGTTGAAACAAAAACAATTTCGAAAAATTGTTAAAAATTCAAGGAGGCAGTATCCTGGTATCATAGTGACCTGCTATACGCGCGCTAGGGCAGGGGTCCAAATGCTACAGGTTACGGGTTTCAATCCCCGATATCTTACATCTTTTCCCCTAAAAGGTAAATTTCCTTTCTTAAATTGTGTTTAATCAAGCGCTACCGATGGAAGAAATTACACTTTTCTCTGATTATGGCTCTGGAGGATTTGTTTCAAAGGAATTTAAGTCTGAGACCTGTATTCCGTTACAACTGACCATGGGCGTCGCGAGGGGGGGGGGGGGGGGGCAAGGGGGGGGGCACTTGCCCCCCCCCCCCCCTGGAAAAGAAAAAAAAAGAAAAGAAAAAGAGGCGCGAAGACAAAGTGGTGTAAATTTAATGAGTTGGGGGGGGGGCAAAATGTCCCTGCCCCCCTCTAAAACTGCTAAATCGAGAATGTGTTGAGAAATACAAGCATTTTTTGGCAAAAAAATTGTTTTGCCCCCCTCTAGAAAAAATCCTGGCGACGCCCATGCAACTGACACATGCTCATTATGGTCATGTTGGAGGCAGAAAAAGTAATTGCTTTCCAGAACTGCGATTTTGTTACAATGAGGAAGTACATGTATGCAATAGCAGCGGATCATTTTCCTGGTTCTCAACAACATCTACTACACTTTACATCTCAGCGAGCATATCCATACACCGAACGTCATTATTGTCTAGAAAATACGTTTTTTTATGTAAATGAATTGGCTAAGAGGAAACGGGCCTCCTGTAGAGAATGCCTTCGGCCACAGACGTAGGTGAAAGTGTCTGCATCTAATCACATCGTGACGTCATCATCTTTTCAAAGTAAATGTGACTTATCTGACTTAAGTCTGACTATCTGACAAAAACCCCTATATTTCTTCCCTTGTTATTTGGGATGCACTTTAAAGGGCCTGTGCAGTGTAATTTGTTGAATGCAATCCTTGAAAATGCACCTCCATGTCCCATTTAATCATTACTTTCAATTTTCGTTTTACCATTTTCAAGGGTACTTCGGCGCCTTTTTGGTTTGTACGCTAATGCAAATTTCCATATTCATGAGCAAAAGTATCATAATTAATTCAGCACCAAAGCATGCCAACATGTTGGATCTTTTCCTGTCGTAAATTTTCTTCTCTTTTTTTGTGGTGATTCGTTATTGTGTCATACGTACACGACAGGAAGCCAGTGAGCAAACTCTTCCCGAAGATGATTTCAATGACCAAATTTTTTCGATTCCCAATTTGAACAGGAAACCGAGAAATTGAACAGTGTCTTCCGGAAATGACCTCACGGCAACATCGCTCTCAGTTGTCCGGAAAAGCATGCATGGAAACATTTAAATGTTTATGAAGTGTACTTTTCAACAAAATAAACCAATAAGGAATTTCAAATAGTTTTCATTTAAGAGGAGGAAAAGTTGCACATAATATATTCACATGAACCCTTTAAGCAAAACAGTAACCGATGAAAGCTCGAGAAAGTCAGCCAAGATCTGGATAGAAGACCTTAACACTACTTGCCTTGCTTTTTTTGGTCCCATCATCACTGCTACTGCTGCTGCTGCTGCTGCTACTGGAGCTAGTCGACCCTTTCCTGGTGCGGGCCTTGTCCTTCTTCTTGTCCTTGGAGACGGTGCTTCCTAGGGGGAAGACGTTCTCCTTGAACCGGCTCATCATGTTGCCGGCCGGTCGGTAGTTGGCCACCACGAACACCTTGCCGTTACCGGCCACCGCTTTGCCGATGCCAAGCTCCTTAGAGTCTTTCCAGACAACTTGGCTGAAATGGCCTGAATGACGACAAAATACATTTGATTTGATATGATTTAAAAATTGTGATCCCTGCGATATGTTTATTATTTTTTTTCACTTGCTATTTTCCTATACAGGGTGAGTCAAAAAAACAAAACCCAAATGGCAGGACCAATTGTCGAGTGAAGTTTTGCTTGTAGCACTTATAAAATAACATAAAAGCCACATCAATGAGTTTTCTTTTAGTACAAGAATCATTCAAATCACTACTTTTCAAGTTAGGGGATTTTGAACACAAACCCGTTTTAAAAGTCTGTCCACGGATACAAAAAATAATTGTTCTTTCACACATCCCTATGTGAAATGTTTTCGTCTTGCTGAAAAAGCACTTACCTTTTTGGTGATCCATGGGCAGAACTTTAAATCGGGATTCGTTTTCAAAATTCCTTTCAAGGATTATTGTACTGAAAGAAAGCTTATTGATTCGGCTTTCACATCCTATAATTTTGAAAGTGCTTCAGGCAAAACCTCATTCAGGAATTGGTCCTGCCATTCGAGTTTCATTTTTTGTACTCACTCTGCATAGCAATATAAATGTTATTCACTTTTGAATGAGACATCAAACGAATGAAATCCACTGACATTCAGTTATTGAATTGTTTCTTCACAAAACTTGGATTATTAGCTACAAGACAATAATTCGGCTCTCTCAGGGCGGATTCACCTGTGCGCAAAATGAAATCTTTTTTTTTCAGAGGGCTTCAGACGCCCCAAATCAGATTAAAGTAGTATTTTGTTTCCATCAAAACAAAACATAGAAATTGAAAATTCGTTAGGAGAAAACAAGTTCTTTTGAAGAGCACGGGGCACCATATTTAAGTTTACAAAATACGCCAATACTTCAGATGTTTGGAGAGGGAGGATGGAAAGGGAATACATTCATTCCCCCCCCCCCCCCCTCGTGCTTAACCACATTCATTCCCGGCTTTTTTTTTTTTGGGGGGGGAGGGGTGTAACATGCCGGCTCATGTTAAAGTCGATTGAGAAGCGAGAAGTCCCGAGCCATTCACGGCAACATTCTTGCGCGTGAAACGTTCCCAGTGCTATTTTCGAGTTTCATCCCTTAAAATAGATACCAAATAGATACAAGATTTTCTAAATTGCAATTATTTTTTCTAGCAATACAAAAGTTATTCATTTTTGAATGAGCCATCGGGCATAATATTGGCACAAAAGCATTCGTTTTAAAATGCACCTTCTGCAATCACAGAAAATGACGGATGTGTTGGGTTGTAGCACTTTATTATACCTGTACGGTGTTTCATGACATGTAGTTTGCAAGGAGGTACTGTAGTACTATTATTATACTACATGATACACGAGTGCCTACTCGTATGCAGCATGTATTTACATGTACATGTACACGTACATGTACATCCATGTACATGTATAGTTGTACAACATGTACATGTACGTGTATATAAAATTACATATCAATACGGTCCGTCGCGTGCGCAGCAGATACTAATAGTGCCCGCCCCATGGCCCGCCCACACAACGACACTGACTGTGAATTATTCATTAGACCTTTGACCGTTCGCCAACTTAGCAGTTCAGTGCGTTGACATCGTCAAAAATGTCTGCGTTTCACCACTCGTGATTTAAATTATACAAGTATATTAAACACAACATATAAGCGTTTTATTATTAATTGTTTTGGTACACACAACAAATGAAAAGGAGTTTTAAGTGGCCATCAATCTGTTCTGAAAAATCAACGAATTTGCGTTACTGTGATTTCTATGTAGTTGAAATGAGAACAGACCCTAATTTTCAGTTGTATAAGTTAAGATCATACTTTTAGGGATCATTTCTATAGTATGTATCTCCTTTCGCAATCGTACACTTGTACGGTGCTTCGTCAACCACGATGACGAGCTACAGTGCTCCCCTCTGAGCGCGAAGCGGGTCTCGGGTGCTACCTTCGGGTTTCCTGCCCTTGGCCATTGATGAACGTTCCTCCTCCCCTTAAGTGGGAGCAGGAGGAGGGGAACACATTCTGAGTGGTTGCTTTTTTTCTCAAATCCAAAATCAGAAATGAAATTGCTCTTAGCGCTAGCTTAAACACCGTTGAAGCATAAATCTTTTAAAAGTTTACACTCTTGTTAAACTTGTCTTATTTGGCTTAACCAGACTTATTAATTTCTGTTCATCCATCATACGTATGCGGCCTGGTCTGCGTTTTAAATTGGAATATTATTGAGGTGTACGGGCACGTGCAAGAAACATTGTTTTAGTGGAATCAATGAAACGCACCTTTGTATGTGTCCCATTACCTAATAATTTCAACCGTTCATCGGCCGTCCATTTTGAGGGACTCTCAGGGCAGTATGCTTTGGTGTTCATTCATGCCATCTTAGCAGAGTTGTAGCACTCATCTTTCTTGAGCATTAAATTGCCAGAATGTTCGTTTTTTCTAATGTCAAACTTCTATTATCATGTCAATTTTCTAACACTGAATTGGGACGTGAAACCCGTCAGAAAGCAACTGACAAGGCAAAAGTAGTAAAGCTGGTCCCAGAGGGCGTAAACTTATATTCAACTGATTCGAATGGCTGTTCATTAGAAATCCGTTCATGCATCGGATGATCTACACAATGGGCCGGATTTAGCCCATTTATTGGCTACACGGGGTAATCCTATGCAATAGTACTGCCCGGTTCATCAGCGGCAGTCAGTCAGGGAGTCTTCGTTGAGTGAGATTGATACAGAGAAAACATGGACTGGCCCTCTGGGACAGGCAAAAATAAGTAAATTCTGAGATCCGTGTAGTTTATACAACTAGTCGACAATCTTTTACAGGTAATATATAACATTTGCTTTTGCTGTAATTTTCAGAAATGGGTAGATTTGGGGGTCAGTATTTCATAGCAAATATTATTACCCTGACCTGTTTAAATTTATATGTTCATAGATGCTGAAAAAAAACCACAAAAAGGTTGTTCTTGTAGTCTGATGTTATAGACGTTGGGGAATTGTCAGGTCAGGGAACCAGACTAGCTGCCTTGCACCAGGTTTTGGATGTGTAACCGATTGCAAACAACATGTTGACTAACTAAATTGTGTAAATTGGGGACGCTATTTGAAAAAAAAACAGGGTTTTTTTGCAAGCAACGATTGTCGGCCGGCCATCATTGGAAATTGATTTTAAAAAATCCACTTTTCTTGAAAATGACAGCACAGCAAGTGCCATGATTTTTACAGGATGCTAGAGACTTTCAGTCAAGTAAAGTTTTATAATAATTTAGTAGTTTTGTTTTTTGATGTAGGCCTACACAGTAATGCTAAACTGACAGAGCACAATGGTTGTTAATTATTAAGTGCCCTTTCAAAACCTCATTTTTTCCCATGAAGTCCGCGGGGACGGTTAGATGTGCAAAATATGTTTTTGGGTGCAATTCATGTGCAGGACATTAATGGGTGCTTACCTGTTCCAGAGCGGAAGCCGGGGTTGTTGAAATTGTAATCCTTGACCTCAGAATACCATTGGTCAGTCGCCTGCTGGCCTGGCAAATCAGAGGCGAAGAAGTGAAACAAAAGTTACAATGACTAGGGAAGCACTGTCAACTGATCATGGTGTTTACACGACATTGAAAATAAATAAATTATACAACGAAAAGTTCCGAACCAGTGGAGTAATTGGGAGGGTCCCCATCCCACCCCTTGTGCCCCCGCTCTATACTTTTTTTTTACTATGACAAGTGACCATTGAACGCCGTCCTCCAGAAAATGAGGACTCCAAGTTTCCCCCGCAAATGGGACCCCGTTTTCGCTACTGCACTAAAATACTGTTGCAACAAGAGTGAAAACCCACCCTGAAAATACTTGTCCGCCTTAATGGCTCGTTGAAAGAGTGGACGTTTCACTCTAAAGTGTGAATTTTCTGTTCCGCTCCATAGGCAATTGCCGCATATCCCACATTTTCAGGAAACAAAATGATCAGGGGTCTTTCTGCTTTTCGAAGCCAGATAAAGATAGACTTAAAGCCAGAAGAATGATTTTGTTTTATAATTTGCTACCCCCAGATTTGTGCGACCCTCCGTTCTGAAGATAAAGGAATTTACTGCCAAAAAAATGCTATCTTTGTGGTCAATTCCCCACGTTAAAGCATGTGTGAAAATTTTCGGATGAGCAGATGCGCGCTACTTTTCATTATGGTTTGAGAGTTGTTTGCATTTAGAGAATAATTATTATGATTTACATAGCACAATCTTAATTTTTGACAAAAGCTGTATATGTACCCTCCATAATTAACCGCGGCCTCTACTAATGAGATATTGCCTGTGGTCAATGGTTTTCAATTTCTCAGTATCTTGTTCTGGAAACGTTAAAGTTTCTTTGATGGCATTATCAATGTTACCTGTGTACTCTGTTGTCTGGGAGTTGAAATTCATGGCAATGTTCTCCCCATACTCCTTGTTGTTGCTGTGCTTCAACGAATTACTGCTGGCCAGCTGATTGGCCCATTGCTGCGCGTGCGCAGAGAGGTCATCACTCAACTTCAGAGCCGGGACGCCATGTTTTTCTCGACACCTGTGAACCAACGCCATTGTTGTAAAAATGTAACAAGAAAACAATTACAAAACATCTCAACTGATGCTGATTAGTTCTCAATTAAATTTTAATCTGGACGGGGCAAGGCGAACATGACCTGTAATAAGCCTCTGTACTGATGACGTTACGCACTTTGTTTACATGTGCACTTTCCTATGGAGCCAGTGGGGGCCCACGGTCCACTGAGCACCATATGAAAGCACACACGTAAGCGAAGTGTGACGTCATCACTACAGAGGCTTGTATAGTGATTAGTATAGTGCTTGACTTTCATATCCCAATCATTAAATATGGAAATCACCTCGAGCTAATAGAGATTGCACAAGAATATTGCAAGAAATGCCCAACTAGTTCTTCCAACTATGACAATACACACCTTCATAGACTATTAAACATCAACGTCATACTTTACTTTTTAAGTACTTTTGTTTTAAACAGACAGTTAAGGTCACGGATATAACTTTAAACTCTCCAAATGTAAAAGAGTGAAAAACCACTCGAAGATGTGGCTCTTTAAAAAGAGTGCAGATTAATTCACTTTTTTGAGTGTTTTTTTCACAATGGCCCACAGTGAAAAACCACTCAAAAGAGGCAAACTTCACTCTAAAAGAGTGAAAAACCACTCGAAAAGAGTTGTCCCTCATAACACTCTGAAATTAGAGTGGTTTTCACTCTTTCACATATAGAGAGTAAAAAGACAAATCACCGAAACAATGTCTAACATCTACTATCGATAGGCCTAAGTTTGTCATGATGATAACAACTTTTTTGAAGACAAGTTGTCATAGTGGTCATACATTTTGAAACGAACCAGACGGTTAAAGTACAGTTTGCGAGAAAAGTGCAAATACATGTACATGTATATGTATAACAAAAAGTTCAAATATTATATTTTAACAAATTTCGACAGTTTCATACTTATTATGTGCCGAAAGTGCCTCTTTCTGGAAGGTCTTGAGGTCGTCCTTTTTCTTAAACATCTCAGAATAGGTGTACCTCCTGCAATGGAGAAAATTATTCTGAATTAATTCCCACGTAATTAGAAATGTTCCCCTTTCATGCTTGCTTTGTTATTGTTCTCCGAACAGTTCCAACCCTAACAATAGGTTTGCGTTTTAATCGCCTACCGGTTGCTTTTCCAAAGCAGAATTCCATAGGTCAAGTACTTTTGTAAAGAACTATTGCCGGCGCATTATTATCTTCACTGGATCCTGATAGTTGATTTCAATGAAAAGAAATTACTCCAGAACCGTCGGACAATTTGTCAAGGGCAGAACAATGGAGCTGTCAGTCAAACTGCGAAAGCCAACACCCATCAGCAATTTGAATTGACCCAAATTCCTAACTCCAAACACAGGTGACCCATCCTTCCTATGTCAGTTGCCGCGGTATTGTTCATTAGTCAACATTGCGCGATAAAAACGTCAATACTTGAACGAAGTTCACCTGGATGTTGTTTTGTGAGGGAATTGGGTTGACGTGTTTTTGAATTCGTGAAATTCCATATCTCGGTCCATTACTCGCAAATCCGATCACTTAGAATCCTTTTTTTGGTTATTCTGTCAACATGACTAATGAGATACATTGTTCTCCCTTGAACAATCGGGCTACAATTACGACTGGAAGGCTTGCGGTAACACCATGTAAATAATATCTATTTTGAGTTGTATGGTTCTGAGAAGCCTCCTTAGATCACATCTACTAAAATCTTATTCAAATAATTAGTTATAATTTATGAATCTAGATGTATATGCTCTCGTCTCATATCAGTTTTTGTTTCTTAGGTTGTTTCTTTGTGTGGCTGATAGATTAGGGTGCAAAAGCATGTCGCTTCACCTTATACATAATTGTTGTCGTAAATTTGTTTTAGTATAGGTTTCCCCAGCCAATTTTCCTGAAATGTTCATTCACTTCTGAAAATCAGTCATTCATTTTCGTCTGAATTTGAAAATCGCTCCGAACACGCGTTTCATCTTCGCTACCAGAGCATTTGATTCCATTTCAGTTTAATCAATTGGGGCCGTATCACAAGTCCGACGCCTCATAAGAGGCATACACTTTATTTGTTCCGCCTCATAGGTCCGACGCCTCATAAGTCCGACGCCTGTGACGTCGGAAAAACGATGCGTTTAATTTGTCAGACCATTGCTTGTTATTCTACTTATATTTTTTTCAAAGGACAAATCTGCGATGGCCTATATAGCCAAATATCTTTCTCATAAACTGACTGTGTGCCTAATTCCATGCTTGTATCATCAAAACCATCATCCAATCACCTGTCTGCCGTAATACATGTACTGGATGTTCGGGGAAACGGCACATCGCATGCAACAACCAGTCCGAAACAACAGCAGTGTTGCATAGTAGATATGACAGTAGAAAACATATATGGTATACTCTCTTTTTATTTAGTTGCATACTCTTCGCCGTTGATATACCAGCACTCCATTAATG